TATAAGAAAATTATATTATTAAATCAAATATAAATTACTTCTTTATTGAACCTAAATTAAATTTTAAATAAAAAATAAAATTAAAAAATTACACGAAAAATAGAAATTTTAAATAGTTAATTTGATACTAATATCGATATATTTTTGTCAAATTTTTATGATACTTCAAGTTTCTATTTTATTCAAAAATAAAAATATCATCACTTTTTCAAAATCATATAAAACCATACTATAACATCGACTGAAATAAAAAGTAAAATAAAATATTAAAATCAATATGTATCTCGCTGCATTGCACGAGTACCCTTCTAATATATATATATATATATATATATATATATATATATATGGGTATGGTTGATGGATAAATGGTACCAGTGCCGTATCTACCAATGGAAATCTTTTAGGTGTTTTAAAGGTATATTTGCTTTAAATTGATGTTTACTACCTTATGTTAACAAAAAAAATTGGACCGAGTTATAAGTAATGTTATTACATGTGATATTATAGGTTTAGATGTTCAAGTCCTTTAAAAAAAAACCATTATATGTCATTTGTAATGAAACCTTATTTTTATAATTAATATTTCTTATTTTATATTTTGTGCACTTGCTTAAAAAAATTCTATGCCCCCAAAATGGAAGTGAAAGAGCTCTTATAGATGGATGGAAGGTTCTTATATACGTAGGTCTTATGGTCCATGTACAGTCGATGTGGGACCCCAACATGCCCTTTGAAGATTGATTTGTAAAGTGCATGTTGTAATCTCAAACACAATACGTGAAATACTTTATTTACAACGTTGACGTATAGATGAGCATGACAGATTTGACAGGTTTATGGATTTGAATCCTAAGCATTGGTTCGTTTGATAACAGGGCTTAATTACAAATCTAAGTCAAATTTGGATGTTTCATATAGCAAAACAATCAAACTTTTAACAAGTTACAAGAAATGGCCAACAGGTTTGTGAAGTGATTTACGATTTTTCATAAAATTTTATGGTCATTTCTTGTAATTTAATAACAGTTTGATTGTTTTATTAATGTGAATTATCTGAATTGGCACATTGGTTGTGCTAATTGATGAGTTAGGGTTGAATATATAGTTATAGATTATAACAGTTTTGGTCTTTGTAGTTTACACAAATCTTTAAAATTGGTCTCTAGTCTTCAATAACTACAATTATCGTCTCTACTGTTCACATTTTGCTCTGGAAATGTTCCCTGATTACTGACTTGGTTAAATTTGTCCGTTAAATAAGGGGCTTTTATGTCTTTTTATTCCTTTTTTGTTTTGCCTTTACTCAAAGGACCAAAACTATAGTTTATCTTTTATATATTTCTTTGAGTTAAATGCAAATTTAGTCCTTGCGGTTTATATAAATTAACGAGTAAGGTCCCTGAAAAGAATTTTTAACAAGGAACGTCCGTATAGTTTCATTTTTATAACGGATATGGTCCCTTCCTCTAACACCGTTAATTACTTTTCGTTAGTGACCCTTCTTTCCCTTAACTTTTATTTTTATTAATAGATTTAGTCCCTCTAACTATTTTTCATCTTATAACAGTTTTGGCCCCTCAAAGTATTTTTCATTTTATAACATATTTGGTCATTCCCTCAACTTTCATTTTCAGGATTTGTTCCCTCTCTTTGATCAGTAATATTTATGGCACAAACATATATCTTCTAAATATAATGAGCAAAATAATTAAATAAAATTTTAAAATTTAGATTTTTGCCATTAAAATATTTATCTTTTCTAAAAAAATATTTTCATAAAATCATTTAGCTCATATAAAATATAATTTTGATAAATGTTTTGTTTTAGTTAGTTGAAATAAAAAAAACTTCCGCTAAAACTAATTATCCGACGATAGGTTAGATAGTAAAATATTAAAATATAAGTTTAAGTAATTTACTAAAATTAATTAATATAAGAAAAAAAAATCATAGTTAAATAAAATATAAAAATGTAATTTTACTTTAAAGTGATCAATATATACTAGAAATGGTTATTGTTAAATGATAAATTAATGAATATATGTCAATTATACAAAACTGTTATAATTTAACATTAACCGGTTGAATATTATTAATTTATAACATTATTCATCATAATAACGTTAATAGTCTTCAACTATTTAGTGTTAAATTATAACGATTTTATATAGTTGACGTGTATTTTTTAATTATAATTTAACCATAATAAGTTTTAGTGTATATTAATTAGTTTAAATAAATTAGTTAAATTAATATTTTCTTTATCTTTTTTAACAACAATATTTTTTGTATATTAAATTAGTTTTGGTAAATTACTTCGACTTCTATTTTTATATCTTATTATCTAACATATTGTCGGATATTTAGTTTTAGCGGGTTTTTATTTATTTATAACTAACTAAAACAAAATATTTATCAAAATTATATTTTATACAAGCTAAAGGATTTTATGAAAATCGAATTTCAGAAAAGATAAATATTTTAATGGCAAAGTCTAAGTTTCATATTTTATTTAATTAATTTGCTCATTATATTTAGAAGATATATGTTTGTGCCGTAAATTTTGTTGATTAAAACCACAAGGGTGGTGCCTGATTGGTTTGAACTTGTCTTCAAAGGTCAAAAGTATCTGGAGGTCTCAGGTTCAAATCCAAAAAGAAATAAAAATCCTCTTGTGGCCATGAAGGTTTAAATACGGTGACTCCGAGTCCGAGCTATCTGCAAAATATGTGGTTGCCTTGAGATTAGTCAGCTCGCATAGCGGGTTGGATATCCAGGTTAATAAAAAAAAATTGTTGATTAAAAAAAGGGACCAAATCAAAAAAATCAAAAGTTGAGGGAGAGAACAAACATGATATAAAAATGAAAAATATTTTGAGGAACCAAATCTGTTTAAGA